AAGCGGGTGGGGGCGCCCTGCGCGGACCCGCGGCACTCAGGGGACGCGGTGCCCCGGGACGCGGGTTGCGAGGGCGGGGTGGGCAGACGGAGGTCACCGCATCCCGGCCCTACTTCCACCCGGCAGGTGGCATGGAGTAGGGTCCCCGGCGCGCTGTCTCCCCGCGGCCACACACCCCCGGCGCGCCTGGCGGGAGGCTTCGGGTTTCCCCTGGCTGCTCTGTTAGGGAAGGCAGGGGGCGCAGGGAGATAGAGTAGACCCCCCACCCCGCCCCCTGGACGCAGGCACTGTTACACCCCGCCGGACCCCTTTCTTCCCGCGTCCCCATCTGCAGTGCCAGAGCCCCTGGCAGGAAGGGGTTAAGGGTGGTGAACAAGTTCTGAAAATTCCCCTTCTCCCACCCACACCCTTCGCCCTGAGCCAGCCCAGCTTAGGCAGGACCCTGGAGGGGTCAGAGGACGGCTGAGGCTCCAGGGATGCCCTCCTGCTCTCCTGTTTGTCCTGGCACCCTTGACTGTCCCCAAGATGCTGCGGGGAAGCTGGAGAAAGCTGCCCCCACCTGGGGGTAGCGCAGGCCTGGGGACCCCCTGTCTGTGAGTCGGGTACAGAGGCTGGGGGATGGGCACGGTGGCTTCAGAGCCCCCTCCCCAGCCGGCTGCTGGGTGACATTTTAGAAAGAGGTTGGGCTGGGCCTCGCTTCCACCTGGGACCCTCACCCCATAGTGGGGCCAGGGTGCGGGGCTTGGATTGCACTGTCACTGGCCCTGGCCAGATCTGCCGACTCTGACCTCAAGGTCTGGGGGGCTGACACGCCACCCATCACCCCCACTTGCTTACTCAGGTGCAGAGTGTTGGACTGGCCTGGAGGGGACCTGGTTCTGGGGGATTTGAGGCAAGAGCAGGGCCCCTGCCCTCCCCGGACTCCAAGGGGATTTGTCACTGGCTCATGGGGACACCTGGGGAGGGCGGTTGTACACACCCTGCTGCAAGTGTGCGAGCTGGGATCGTGAGTGGGGGAGGGGAAGGAATAGCTCAGGCTGGAGGAGCTTAGTGAGCATTGCCCAAGCCGATATTCATAGAGCACCTACTATGTGCAGGCTCGGAGTAGGCATGGGCCTGGCACAGCACCTGTCTGTGTGCCTGCAGCTGAGTGGGAGGGGCGGTAGCTCTGGGAGTGAGGAGTGTTCAAGGTTCTTTAGGAGTCACAGGCTCTCCACATCTGAGGTGTCCCCAGAAACCCCCAAGGCTCCAGGCAGTGTCGAATGGGACCAGCTCCAGGCGTTGGCACCTGGGTACTTCCTCAGTGACCGTGTCCCTCCCCCATCACTTGGTCATCCCGTGCCAGGTGCCTCGGGGACCCTGCCCTGGGTGGACTAGTCTGTGAGCTAAGGGACACGGAGCAGAGGACAGAGGCCAGAGAGGAAGGGACGCCTGCCAAGGTCACGCTGTGAGGCTAAAGCCCAAGTCCTCTATCCCTCACCGATGCTCCCTCTGCCAGGCCCGTCTGAGGTCACCCTGGCCGGGACACACCCTCTCCACTTCCCTTGTGCTGCCTGAGCTTCCCCAGTGCCACCCCCGGATCTAGCTGTGCCCTCCTGCTGTGGCCCCGTTCTGAGTGCATGAGACCACTTGTAGCCTTAACATGCAGCAGGGCAAGTTGGATGGGGGCCACCCACCCTCCAGGCGTCACTAATATGGTCCAAGTGCTTATAGCTTACCAGATACCAGTCTGAAAGTTTTTGGCACAGAAATCTGGCTTGGGCTTTATAGCACCATAGCCCTTGTTTTACAAGGAGGAGGCAGGAGGCAGTTGAACGACTTGCGCAGGGCCTCGGAGCTAGGAAATAGGAGAGTCCGAGCCTAAACCCTGTGCATGGACCATCCTGGAGGCGGGGCGTGTGGCTGTCTTGTGTTGCCTGCATCTGCCCTGCTCCCTGGAGCTGCAGGAGTCCATGGGCTCCTGAGCTCCCACCTGATCTTCACACCTGTGCCATTAATTACAGCGCCTTGTGCCCGGGCAGTGCCGGGGCCAGGGCACATCTGAGCAGCTGGATCATGAGCTCTGTACTGATGCCCACCCTGAGCCTGGAGCCTGTAAATCCCCACCCCCCAGGTTCAGGCTACACCCTGTCCGGCTGAGGGTCCAACCTCCACCCCACTGTTCACCAGCCCTGTGGCCTCAGCATCCTGCTAAGCCTGGTGTGACCTCAGTGACCGTGTCCCTTTCCCATCAGTGTCCTCAGCCCTAAGACGGGAATGTGACAGTGTCGGTGTCTTTGGGTTGCTGGGGGAGCCATGGCTTAAGTCCTTCAGCACACTGGCCGTGTAATCTGTGCCTGCCACAGAGCCGACGTCAGCGCTAGCGCTTCCTCCCGCTGGTAATTTGTGTTATTCGCTTTCCGTGCACACAGCTGATCCAGAGCATCTTGCTGAAAGGGGCGCTGTCCTCCTCGTGGAGAGGAAGCCGGGGCGGGCGTTCCCTCACTCGG